AGTTACGAAACCATTAGTCCTAACCTTTCGGTCAAGGGTTATTAAAGTTTAACCCTCTAAGGAAAAGCAAAACTGGGGTTGCGTAATCTGACATCTGTGGTTAGTTTGAAGAGCTTAATGTAATATTTTGGGTGAATTTGAGTGAAATTAGAAACATCATTGAGCAGTAACTACAATATGGCGTTTTGGAGAGTTTCCCCTTCCACTGAGCATTTTTAGCGAAGCTTCTGCTTCCTTATACCAGCCAATCTTGACGATTTTCCTATTTCTTGTCTATCGCAACAGTCGACGAGGCTTCGCTGCTTTTCCCTCCTTTTGGCCGGGTCGCCCGAGTTCATCCGCCTGATGCGGGGGGGGAGACGCCTCCGAAACCGGTTTCTGTTGAAGGGCTCTACGACAGCCGGGCTCATCGTTGACTCAGATACACACTTTTGCCTCCCCTCTCTCATCCTGCCTAGTTGGGTCCCGGCAAATCGACGCACACCTGCCTGCAAATGTAATACACACATCCTTCTCCTCGGATCTCGTATTTTGCCCCTTCTACTCCTACCATCGTCGACTCGAGTCCCTCGAGGGCGAGGGTCTACGACGTGTCCACACGGGGCTGACGCAGCTCAACTTACGCCTTCGACACGCCTTGTCGACCCGTGCTACCGCTATTATACTACTTATTACAGTTACTTTTTGATCCTGATCCCGACATTCGCTAGCGTACTCAATGTGCATCGCAAGCGATACTGGAACAGCTCTCCTTTGTCGTCTCTCTCTTTTTGTAAATCGCAATCCGCCACAGCCTCCATTCATAGCCCATATGTGATATTTTACTGTGATTACTCTATTCTCGGATTCCTAGCATGCTGCACTGTTTGACTGGTTATGCCTTAAATGATGTATCCTTATGCGAGTGTGGCATGTTCAAGCATGCATGACTGCATGCACACCCGCAAAAGTGACATCTTCATCCTCTTCCGGGACGATTTCCACGAGTTTCGTTTAACCTTCTTGGCAGACGGTACACTGGGACTTTAGCCTCATCCCCGCCCCGCTCTTCCGTCAAGTCTGCGACCTACAGACCCCCACCACACAGGCCTTATCAACTGGGGTCTGCGTGTGTATGCATGCCGGCTCCGCTGTACATTCCCTCTTAAGCCTGTAAATTATCCTTTCATCAACGCTGCCAGAGGTGAGGAGATAAACAAACCTGATTTCAATTAACTCTTTTATTCTTTGCTGCCATTTTCGTTTTTTAATCGCTTCCGCTTTTCTCTTTCTCTATTTCTCTCGCGCTCGCGCTCGCTCTCGCTGTTTTGCAGTTTTTCTCCACCACTCCTTCCAGCCACTTTCTTGTTGGCCCCACTTACTCGGACGTCTTCCTATTCAGCCCTCTCCTCTTTTTGCGCTTCCCTTCGCTTCATCGGCTTTCTTATCCCTTCCTCGGTCACTCTTACATCTTGCCGCATTCTTCGGCCATGATACTACTTATTTCTGACCCGACTACTGCTATACTCTGCGTCCTTTTGGTGCGGGAAGCAGACAATCACTTTGCCACATGTTCCTTCCAGTAGACTTATTTAAGAAGACTCAAGGCATTTTATCACTTGAAGACTTGAATTGTGGCCCTGACACGCAAATGCTATCTATCTATCTATATATTAATCTATCTATCCATCTCTTCCCATCCTGTTATGCAACGAATTCTTAGACGTTTTAACTTACCATTCCGCAGGCACTATTTGCCAAATATATTTCGGTGACTGGTACTCTTTATCACCATCATCTGTCTTTACCATATCAACCAGGTCCCCCACTGCTTTTTGATAGGCATGGGGCTCATGGTTGCCGAGCAACTTGCTGGTATGAAACTTGTTTTGTGAATGGAGCAGAGGCCAACTGGGCTGAGATTCGAAGGTTTGTTTGATCGAGCTGTGCAGCTTTCTAGTTGCGCAAGAGCCTTATGTGTTCGTGTCGGAACAGTCTCAGTAACCGCTTCCTCAAGTGGCGACTTAAGGCCTACATGGTGCGACCTCTGAGGTATTCGCATATTTCCTTTCCACCGTTAACAGCATGGTTCAGGATTAAGCGGCGAGAGTGGAGGCATGACTAATATGATTAAGCAGTGGAGTTTTGGCCAATAATTTTAACTTTTACGCGTTCTGGTTCGGTTCTGGGTTTGGCCCCGTCCACTGACGAGGCAGACTTGGACGTCTGCGAAATGTCTGGAAACTTTCAAGGTTAACGATCAATTGCTAGAAGAAGGCATGGCAACCGTGAGGAAGGATACAGAAGAGCGTTTTTTTGCATTTCCCTTGTGAACATTAAAGAAAATTTTAATTATTTTATCGTATGCTAAGTATATCGGCTTCAAACTACTTATAAATGCTGATTTAGAACTCGAGCCAGCGTAGGTTGCTTAAGGTGATCCACAAATTAAGAATTGTACTGGATATAACGCGTCAGGATGCTATTAAATTGCCCTAAATCCCAATTGATTTTCTCCCAATCGAAACTGGGTCGGGCGCGTCAATCAGCAACATAATCACTCCTTCACACAGCTCTGAGGGCAGTCGCTCATGAAGTGGGTTTAATTTTCATTGTAAACCTGACATTTCTAAATTTGCTGTAACTGTGACGCTGATGCAGTGTGGCAAATTCATATAAGTGATTAATTTTAACAATTCATCTACCGGTCCTTCATCAACTTAACGAAGTAGAGTGATTAAATCTAAAATATTGCTTTATACCTATTGAATCTTTTTGAGCTTAGTGGTAGAACCATTTGGAATTATTATTATATATATGTATTATTATATATATATTATATATTATTATATATATATATTATTATATATATATAATAGAATCTTAAGCCGACTTGTGAAGGCCTTGAAACAACATTGAGGCAAAAAACAGTGTAAAATGGTACCTAGCGCCTAGGCAAAATGCTGACAAGGGAAGAAGGGTTTAGGATCGAATGCGATATTTGTATCTGTCACTGAATTCAATTATAATGTCATTTAATTAATAATAAAGTTCCAGTTTTATTGGTTTCATACATATATAATTAATAACTTATACGATATCTAATATAATATGTATATTATATCTATTGTGTATTATTTTGTGTACAACTAATTTTTAATTATAATGATTAAATATAATTATATGAGGAACTAGTGTAGAAAACTGAGTATGAATTGTTTGTGTCTGCTGGATAGGCTTAAGGAGAAGAAGAAAGAGGGAGTGTAGGAAGAGACACTGAATAAGATAAGAGGGCTAAATTATCCTCGATTCTAGCTAGCTCTATCACACTTCCCATGACATGAGCAAACATGATTCAACATTAGTGGATCATACATTATTTTATTTGTGTAAAGAAATAGCTGCCACCGAACACACTTCAGGTTCGGGAAGTAACTTCACTCATTTGCTAGCATGTAGAGTATGGTTGAATTAGCCAACCAAATAATGAGGTGCCTCTTATGATGGCAAGGCTAACTGTATAAAAACGCGACTAAGGTTGCAGCCGACCACATTTTATCTTGGTTTAGTATATTTTTGGTCTATTTCATGAAGTATGGA